TTTCATAGCTTTTTTGCTACTTTATAACTTGTTTCTTTTTCATGTTTACTTAAGACGTATACTTTTACTCTATGTCATGTTTACGTTTCATGTTTAATATGTTTTAATTTGTCATGTTTACGTTTCATGTTTAATATGTTTTTATATTTTCACGTTCTGGATTCTGTACAGGGCAAAGCAAGATGGTTCTGTGAAGTAGTGCTCTGTGAAGTGATGCTTTAGGTGATGAATTTGACGTTTACACAATTTGATTAAATAATCTCTTTTGGTTCAACTTAGAGAAGACTGATTGTTGTCATTAAGATTTTTGGAGTTTATGTTTGGTAATGATGTTGGATCCTTAATTGTCATAACATATGCTTTGGTTCTTATAAAAAAAATTAATTTCATGAAAATGAAAATTTATAAATGTCAAATATAATAATTTGAAATTTCTTTGGTTATAAATATATATTTGATCAATTATTAAAATTAATATGGTTAAGATTAAGGATTAAAATATTATTAGATGAAAACATGGGCATTTTAGTAATTTTTCTTCTCAAAAACATCTAGATGAGAATGATTGTCAACCAAACAAACAAAGTTTTAAGCAAAAACATTTAGATGGACCATTCAGATGAACTACCAAAAATAGAAACGAACATCATTCAGATGGATTAGTCAGATGGAGCATTTGGATGGAGCATTTGGATGCGTATCTCAAATGAGCAAACGAACAACACCATATAAGTGGTAGTACATTTGGTCACATGAAACATGGAGATGCCTACATACCTTAGTATTATCTCCAAGATCTTCCGTCTTATAAAGTAATTTGGAATTTTTGTGAACAACATGAAGTAATAGTACAAGATTTTTTTTTCTCATTCTGCTAGTGATTTACCACACTTTGTATTTGATCCTGATTAGAAATCTTCTTATATAAATTCCAGTATAAAATTATTTAATAGGATTTTGTTTCATGCTTGAATACCTTATTAAGAATAGCAACTCGAAGGAGCCAACTAAGGAGACTTGGATAGTTGGATTGCAGCAATTAACTTCAAAGATTTGTTTTCTGATATATTTAGTTTACATATCCACATTATCAAAAATCTTCTCGTTTCTCGCTTTCCAAATATACCAAATTATCCATGGAAATGAAGATGAATCAATCTTTGATGGAACTCTCCAGAAAAGATGATCCAAGTTCGCGTAAATAGAAGCCGAGAGAAAAATCCCTGTAACCGAAGGGATTGGAGAAAGAGCCCAGATTTGTCTTGCAGGATGACATTCAAAAAGTGTGTGATTAATTGTTTCCTCTACAGCGCCACATCTAACACATCCGGTGTCACAATTTATACCTCTCTTTCTCAGATTCTCCGTAACAGGTACGCAACCTGATAATATTTGCCACAAAAAATATCGTAGCTTTGGTGGACACTTCACCTTCCATGCATAAGCTTTCAGAGATTTGATATCCGGGCCAAAAAATTTAAGGTTGGCATCAGAAGTCTCTATCTGTGCGGTATGGTAACCCGATTTAACCGTATAATTTCCTGATTTTGTGAAATGCCAACCAAGGGTATCCTCCTTAGTTGAGACACCCAAAGGCAAAGCACTAATCAGCGCGACATCCTCTGGATCAAAAAGCTCCGCCAAGAGATTCATATTCCAAAAGTTTGACCGGCTGTCGATAAGTTGATTAACTTTTAAAGATGGGTCAGTAATTGAACCATTACTTTTTGCTGGTCTCGGGAATTGAGCTGGTATCCATGAGTCCTCCCATACTGAGATGGACGCCCCAGAACCAACTCTTTTAATAAGTCCTTTAAGAACCAGAGATCTAGCTGACATTATACTTCTCCAACCATAAGAAGGAGAGTACGATTTTATATTATCCAATGGATTGGATTTCCGGAAATACCGTCCTTTAAATACCCTTGCAAATAGTGACTCAGGAGCCATAACCAAACGCCATAATTTTTTAGCCAGTAACGCTGAATTAAAATCATCCACGTTCCGAAATCCTACCCCACCTTCCGATTTACTACTACAAAGTTTATCCCAAGCCATCCAATGCATTCCCCTCGATTCACCGTTTGAGCTCCACCAAAATTTTGCGACCGCACTCGTAAGTTTAGAAGTTATTGATTTTGGTAGTCTGAAGCATGACATAACATATGTTGGTAATGCCGCAGCTACCGATTTAATCATAACTTCTTTTCCGCCTTTCGATAAAAACTTAGCCGACCAACCATTTATCCTAACCTGAAGTCTATCTCGAACAAAGGAGAAAATCTTTGTCTTAGATCCACCAAGGCTTTCCGGTAGACCAAGATAAGATCCCATGCCACCAAGATTGTGGATACCCAGAACCGTTTTTATTTCTTCCTTAATAGACTCATCAACTTTGTAGCCAAACTGAAGAGATGATTTTGAAAAATTAATTTGTTGCCCTGAAACCGCTTCATATTGTTTTAGAATTCCCAAAATTACCCCGCATTGTTCTTTATTGGCTTTGCAAAAGAACAAACTATCATCAGCAAATAAGAGATGAGATACCGACGGGCTAGCTGTGGATACCTTGATACCTGTAATCAAGTTTTCACGTTCCGCTTTCTTAATATTCACAATGAGTACCTCCGTACAGAGAATGAATAAGTAAGGAGATAAAGGATCTCCTTGTCTAAGTCTCCTCTCTGGAATTATTAGCCCTTTTGGTTGTCCATTAAGTAAGACCCTATATTGGACTGTTGTGATACACCACATCATCCACGAAATCCATTTTTCGCAAAAACCCATCTTCCTTAATAATTCTTCTATGAAACTCCATTCAACCCGATCGTAAGCTTTACTCATATCCGTCTTAATAGCCATAAATTTTCCTTTGCCTGACTGGTTAGTTCTCAGACCATGAAACATCTCTTGTGCTATTAGTATATTATCCGAAATCAGTCGCCCTTCTACAAAAGCATATTGGGTTTCCGAAATAAGATTTGGTAAGATCTTCTTAAGTCTTTGACATAGGATCTTTGATATAACTTTGTAACCAACATTGCAGACACTAATAGGCCGTAATTCCGTCATCCGAGTCGGTCGCTCCGTTTTTGGAATAAGACATATATTAGTCGTATTTAACCGCTTGTCAAAAACTCCTTCTTGTAAAAAAGAATTAACGAGAGTTAACAAATCCGATTTAATGGTAATCCAGGCTTTCTGGAAAAACAAAGCTGTCATCCCATCTGGTCCGGGTGCCTTATCCGGATGCATCATAAATAAAGCCGCTCGGACCTCACATTCCGTCGCAGGAGCCGTTAAAAAATCATTAATCGAATCCGTTGTCATTGTCTGAACCTCTGCTAGAGACTCCTCAAAGGCTTGAGGATTAGTTGTAGTGAATAAATCCTTAAAATAGGAAACCGCTATGTTTTGAATATCTTTATCCTCGGCAGACCATATCCCATTTTCATCATGTAGACCAGTAATCCGATTCCTTGCACGTCTCTGTTTTGTAAGAGCATGAAAATATTTTGAATTATTATCCCCTAATTGCATCCAAAGGCCCCTACTTTTTTGATACCAATATAGCTCCTCATCTCTATAAGCCTCTTTCAGCTACAATGTTAAATCCGTAATTTCCTATCGTGTTCTCGTATCATCCCGCTGAGCTGCATTAAGTTCCGATTTCAAGTCCTCTATTTTTTTCCGTTCATAAGGGGATAAATCTTTCCGCCATTGTGAAATAACCCTTCGACAATTAGTCAATTTCTCCACAAAATTTCCATCTTCAGCACTAGAATCGAGATTCCACCCGCTTGAAATTGCCTCTAGTAATCCCTCTTTTCCGATCCATCTTTTATCAAATCTAAAGCAGCGCTTACCACGTGGTATCTTATCAGCAATTGTAGCTACTACCGGGGAATGGTCTGAAGCTACCATTTGTAAATATTCAACATAAGAATTGCAGAATAATTCATGCCAATCCTCGTTTGCTAACGCTCTATCCAACCGGCACCGAATAGGCTTTTTATCCCGCCATCCCCTCCAAGATAACCAATCTCCAAGATATGGAAATTCCATGAGGCCACAATCATTTATCATTGAATTAAAAGGGATAAAGGAAGAAGCATGTCTCAATTTACCACCTCTTTTTTCATGATTTTCCGTCAATTCATTGAAATCTCCGATCAAAAACCAAGGAGAATTTCGAGATATCCCAATCCGCGTTAACCGTTCCCAAACTTGGTCTCTGTTTTTTGGTACCGGATCTCCGTAAACAAATGTGAGATAAATTGTTTTTCCTTTATAAATAGCCTCAATATCAATTAAACGATTGCTTTCGTAAATAATTGAAACATTAAAATCATTATTGTAATAAAGAGCTAAACCGCCACTACAACCGATAGGATCAACCGTTTTTAAATTCTTATAACCAAAATGACCAACAAATTTTTCCATAAATAAAGAGGATTGTTTTATTTCCGAAAGAAACAAAAAATCTGGCCGATGTTGTTTCCACACATCCCGTAAATAACCAATTGTTGCCTTATTCCCTAAACCTTGACAATTCCAACTTAATATCTTCATATAAACTATGGAGGAATAAAAATCGTTTTAGTAGACTTTTCTCTCTCAGGCCCGACTCCCAATGTTTCCCAAAAGTAGGCAGTAGATTCAAAAGAAGGGATCCCACCCACTTTTTTTAGCCAAAAAAAGAAATATCTTTGAATCTCCTTCTCAAAATGGAAAGCTTTGGCCGGAGAAACAGCTGCTTCGCCCCCTCCTCTCGTCGCCGGTGAGTCTAGATACCCCCAGCGTACCCCAGTTCTTCTCCCCGTTGGAGACTTTTACTCCCCACTGGAGATTTACTCCCCCTTGGAGTTCTTTACTACGCCTCTCCGCCTCTTCTCAGGCGTAACTTTTAGTACTCTGTTCTAGAGTTCTATTCGCAGCTGGTGTGCTGTGTTTCTGTTAACAGTCTGGAGACCCCTCTTGACAGCTCGTTTCTGTAACGGAATCTCTTCACTAGTTTCAACAAATCCTCAAAGCAACTAGGTTTCGCAATGTCCCCAAGATTCTCAAGACAGGAGAAAGCCAAATGGGTGGCCAGCCCAAGCAGAGACAGCCAACGTCCATGTAGGCGTTCCCTGGTTCGTATACCGGAGTGTGATAACGGTGAACTCATCGAGAAAAACAATCTCACGCTAGTGGGAAGGGTCACAAATGCCAAGATCCAGCACCCAAAGGCTTTGGTACACTACATGTTGCAGTTCTGGAACCTAGAAGGTAGAGTCACCGGCCGAGATCTGAGACCGGAAAATTTTCAGTTCACATTTAAAACAGAACAGGATTTGCAACTTGTGTTAAGCTGGTCTCCTTTCCACTTCAAACACTGGATGTTCATCCTCCAAAGGTGGGAGCCGGTTGTTTCAGACGCCTTTCCGGCATAAATTCTGTTCTGGATCCAACTCCAAGGAGTCCCACAACACTACTGGACTGACAAGGCCCTGAAGTCTATAGGGGAGGATGTGGGTACTGTGGAGGCTGTGGACACAGAACAGGTCCGAGTTAGGGTAAACATCAATGCTTTGCTCCCACTAGAGAAGCAGATTCCAGTTCTTCTGCCTACAGGAGAGACAACAATGGTGGATCTAGAGTATGAAAAGCTGGAAAAACATTGTTTTCAGTGTTTCTCCCTTACTCACGAGAAGAAAGACTGCCCAACACGTTACGACAACTCCAGGAAGGGCTCTCAAGAGTCAGATATCAATAAAAACAACACTCTTCTCCGCCTGGTAAATAACAAACGCAGACAGTCAAGTTCAAAGCCCGCCTCTAGAGATTATGCAAGACAGAAGGAAGACTACCCCCGACGGTATGAGACTAGATCTCCGGTGAAAAGCTCCTCAAGAAGGGAGAACCTTCACCCTCACTCTCACCGGAAAGAGTCTACCAGATCGGTCTTTGCGGGTAGGCTAAGGGATCACCCCTCTGAGTACAAAAACAGAGCTTCAGCTCGCATAAGCCCATCCAGAAACCTAAGGCGCCCCACTTTCCAGAACTCTAGAGAGCAGTTCCCTCCAAAGAGATCTCAGCACTCAGAGTGGCGAAGACGCAATTCCCCAATTGCATCCAGGAGCTTCCAAGCTACTCATGATAGCCAAAAAGGGTCAGTTAACAGTGCTCAAAGGAACTCCGTTGACTCCACCCCCGGGGACTCTGTTTCTCCCCCCCACCTCCCCTCGCTCCTCCGTCAAACAAAGGTAATTAGAGCTCCCCTAGATCGAGAAGACCTACTCTAGAGAGACTCTCCACGGGTCTACCTGCAGGACACCTCAACCTTACCCCTCGCGGTGCTCAGGGAGAGACTTCCTCTTTATCAAGGCGTCTCCAGGAAGTGAATATACAATATTTAGGGGAAGAAGATCAGAACCTGAGCAGGCCGACCACAACAGTTCATTTGGGATCATGCTCAGACCCCATCCATCCTACTCTGGGCCACCGTTTATCCCAGGGAGAAGGAGGGATAATAGAAGAAGCCAGACCCCCTGCCCTGTCAAGATTGGAGGTCGCACAGCCAACGGTTACAGTGTCTATTCAGGCAAAACCGCCTAGAGGCAAAGCTGCTCCAAAAAGGAAGGTAGCAGCAGTCAATATACCGAGAGGAGCTAGAAGTCCTCTTCAGGAAGCTAGCACAAGGAAAAGAAATGCCACTAGAACCAAAGGCAGCCCCTGTGTCTAGAAAACGATTATGCCCTGAATCACTACCTTGCGATAAGGATACTGTACCTGTTTCTCAGGCTGCTACACCTGCTGTGGTGTTAATTCCAGCTGCCAAAAAGGCAAAGGCAAAGGCGGATTTTCAAAACCCGCCAAATCCTCTTCCTTAGTGGTGGTTAGTTGGAACTGTCAAGGGCTTGGAAGCACCCTAACAGTTCCACGACTGCGGGAGATACGATCTGATTTCTCCCCTAATATCTTGTTTCTCACGGAGACCAAAAATCAAGACGAAGAAGTGTTCCGTGTTTTTCAATCCTTTGGATTTGCAAATCGTTTCACAGTTCCTCCCCAAGGCTTGAGTGGAGGCCTCGCTCTTTTCTGGACAGATGAAGTCACTCTGGAGGTGGTTTCCTCTTCGCAGAATTTTATTGATGCAAAGATTAAATTCCAGCAGCTTGCTTCTTTCATAACTTTTGTCTATGGGGCTCCTCAAATTGAGCATAGACAGACAGTTTGGGATGAGATCTCTGCTTTTGGGTTAGCAAGAGAGGAACCTTGGCTCCTCACTGGCGATTTTAATGAGCTTCTTCACAACTCAGAAAAGGTGGGTGGACCTACTCGCTGTGAAGGATCCTTCATACCCTTTCGAAGCTTTGTCTCGCAGAATGGTTTGTGGGACGTTCAACACTCAGAGAACTCTTTGTCTTGGCGAGGCCAGAGACATACCCACTTCATTCATGCCCGATTGGATAGGGCCTTGGCAAATGTGGCTTGGTCAGAGTCCTATCCCTCGGGTCGTTGTCGATACCTTCGGTTTGAGGGATCAGATCACCGGCCTCTGGTAACATTTTTTGACCCCACCAAGGTTAAGCCGAGAGGCATCTTCCGGTTTGATAGGCGACTTAGAGATAAATCAGAGATTCGCACACTAGTGGGGGAGACCTGGAGCTTGCCTACGCCGGAAAACCTTTTCTCCAAATTTGGAAGATGTAGAAGAGTTCTCATTCAATGGTCTAAAGAACAAAATGTTCTTAAGCTTCAGGAGCTTCGAGTTAAGCAAAAGGAGCTGGAAACAGCTCTCTCAGCCTTAATACCTGACAATGACCTTATTGAAACCACTACAGCTCAGCTTGCTGCTTTATATTAGGAGGAAGAGGCGTTTTGGCGCCAATGAAGCAGAGTCCTCTGGCTCCAAGAAGGTGATCAGAACACCAGCTTTTTCCACGCCATAACAAGAGGTCGTAAAGCCATGAACCACCTCTCTGTTTTAGAAGATGAACAAGGAACAGAGGTCTTTGAAGAAGAGAAAATTGCTGCGACAGTAGCTGAGTTTTATGAGAAGCTCTTCACTACAGCCACAAGTTCCCAGCTCAAAGTGGTGGAGGAAGCTATCCAACCAAAAATCTCGGAGGCCATGAATGCAAGGCTCATCCGCAGTCCATCAGACATAGAGATTCATGTAGCAGTTTTAGACATCAATGCGGATAAAGCCCCGGGGCCGGATGGCTTTTCGGCAGGATTCTATCATTCCTTTTGGGAGATCATAGGCGGGGATGTCTCTCGAGAAGTCAGGGCTTTCTTTGACAGTGGTAGATTACATCCGCGGCATAATGAAACTCATATACGACTCATTCCAAAGGGTTTAGGGCCAAAAAAGGTGGCGGACTATCGACCAATAGCTTTATGTAGTGTTCACTACAAAATAATTGCCAAAATCCTGTCTAAAAGACTGCAGCCCCTGCTGCCTGACTTGATTTCGCATCATCAATCAGCTTTTGTTCCCGGAAGAGCTATCTCCGATAATGTCTTGATTACACATGAAGTATTACACTTCCTCCGCGTCTCGGGAGCAAAAGTGCATTGCGCTATGGCGGTGAAGACCGACATGAGCAAGGCGTATGATCGAATCGAATGGTCTTTCCTCTAAGCGATTCTAATGAGGTTTGGTTTCCAAGAATTGTGGACGGATTGGATACTCAACTGTGTCTCCTCGGTTAGCTACTCTTTTCTCATTAATGGCTCCCCGAAGGGAATGGTTATCCCTACTAGAGGACTTAGACAAGGCGACCCATTATCACCTTACCTTTTCATACTTTGTACGGAGGTTCTCTCGGGCCTTTGCAAGAATGCACAAGCACGCGGCTCTTTACCGGGTGTGAGAGTAGCGAGGAAGAGCCCTTTAATTAATCATCTTCTATTCGCGGACGATACCATGTTCTTTAGCAAGACAAGCATCAAGAGCTGTGAATCTCTCATGACAATCCTCAAGCGATATGAGGAAGCTTCCGGTCAATGCATCAATGTGGCAAAATCGGGGATCACTTTCTCTTCCAAAACACCACCGGAAGTTAAAGATAGAGTGAAAAGGATTCTTGGTATCGTTAATGAAGGTGGAATTGGAAAATACTTAGGGCTTCCCGAACATTTTGGTCGAAGAAAGAAGGATATCTTCACGGGTCTAGTTGATAAGATTCGCCAAAGTACGCTGACTTGGTCAACACGCTTTCTTTCGGGAGCCGGGAAGCAAGTTTTGCTCAAGGCAGTCCTAGCAGCCATGCCTTCTTATGCGATGTCGTGCTTTAAGCTCCCCCTTTCTCTTTGTAAAAGAATTCAATCGGCTCTTACACGGTTTTGGTGGGATGATAAACCGGATAAGCGAAAGATGAGTTGGATAGCTTGGGAAAAGCTTACTGCTTTAAAAGCCGAAGGAGGACTGGGTTTTAGGGACTTGGCTACTTTTAATGACTCCCTTCTCGCCAAAATAGGCTGGAGTCTACTGAAGAGACCGGATTCTTTGTTGGCGCAGGTTCTTTTGGGTAAATACTGTCACTCTTCCACCTTCTTGGAGGTTAAACCTATGTCAAACGCTTCGCATGGGTGGAGAGGGATTCTGGCGGGAAGAGATATCCTCAGGCTGGGTCTTAGATGGCTAGTAGGAGATGGAGAGGACATAAGTGTGTGGAACTCCCCCTGGCTTTCAACCTCCAGCCCAAAAATCCCCATAGGCCCGCCTAATTTTGACTCTGCAAATATTAGGGTCACAGATTTGCTCTGTCCTATCTCTCACTAGTGGAAGCTAGATGATATTCGACGGATACTACCTCACCGTGAGGAAGATATACTCAGCTTGGTATTGAGCTCAAACAAAAGACCGGACCGACTGAGATGGCTGCCAGTAAAATCTGGATCCTACTCCACAAAATCAGGATATGCTGTTGCAAAGCTCGCCTCTGACCGCCTCCAGGAAGAAAGCTTCAACTGGAAAATCCAATATTTGGAAGGTGCTGACATCTCCAAAGATACGTATGTTTCTCTGGAAAGCCACAAAAAAAGCCTTGCCAGTGGGTACAGCTTTGTCCAGCAGAGGCATTGTGTCTGATTCAAGGTGTAAGAGATGTGGAGAAATCGAAGACGCGGTGCACATTTTCCTCAGCTGCTCTTATGCAGCACATGTCTGGGATCAAGCGCCACTACTCTACAAACCTAGAGCAGCTGACGTGGGATCAATGGAGAAGCTGCTGGAAAAGGGTCGATCTATCCTAACACTGCCGCCGGTGGGTTTAGGAGCCGCTCCCTTGTATCCTTGGATTCTTTGGTTCTTATGGAAGGCCCGCAATTTACTCATCTTTGAGGAGCGGCTTATCTCCCCTGCAGAGACAATTCAGAAGGCCATTACAGAGGCAAAAAGGTGGCAGAGTGCAAAGTTACAACAAGTCTCTCAAAAGCCAGCTCCGCAACCAAGACTTGGGACTGACGCAACTGCATCTGTTCATAGCGAGACTTTCCTCTGTTTCTCGGATGCAGCTTGGCAGGCATCCTCTAGATTGGGAGGCATGGGGTGGATCATCAAGGACCCCCTTAACTCTGTGTTCCTTCAAGGTTCATCATCAAGACCCTTTGTGACTTCGGCTCTAGAGGCTGAAGCTCTTGCTTTAAAGGCTGGTATTCAAGCGGCCTTAGCTTCGGGTGTTTCAAGGCTGGCCTGTTTCTCGGATTGTAAAGAACTTGTTCTTCTTCTCAATTCCGACGGTCACGCGAATGAGCTAGATGGTATCCTAACCGATATCACCTTGCTTGGTAGTAGCTTCCTTTCGATCTCTTTTCATTTTGTACCGCGCTTGGAGAACGCTCAAGCAGATTTGTTAGCTAAGACTGCTCTCCTCTCATGTAACACCTCCTCCCTCTCGGGAGTTTGAGTGTATCTTATAAAATTGAATGTTTGCCCAAAAAAAAAAAATATCTTCATATATTATCTTCGTTGTTTAATAGGGTGCGTTGACCCTTCCCTAAGATCCTCCCGTCTATTACAGATCTTTGGGTTAAATTAAAAACCGATTTGGATTTCAAATTTGTGTTTTTTTTCATTTGACCCAACACAGCTTTAAATACAAGAGCCTTGCGTAAGCCATTTGAAAATTCCTCCTCGTATATTACCTCATTAAACCAAACCGAATTTAACTTATATGTAACAATCATATGCCATGTAATATTTAAAGTGGACCTAACTCCTTCGTTATTTAACAGAAATTTCATAACAAAACCAAACATATAACCGCTGAGATTCCTTTGGTTTGATAAATAATAAAACCATAAGTAAACCAACAATTTTAAGAACAGAACATGTGACATAAACCGATGGAAAAAATAACTTTCCTTTATTACTTTGAGCTCACAGATTATATGAAACACATAAAGAATCTGTAAGTTACATCTTGCAAAGAGAAAATAAAAAGAGACCGTACCGACATAATTCGGATTTACCGAACAACAATGACAACTGAAAGATTACAGAAAATCATGTTCTTGTAAAGAACTTATTTCTAAGAAATTGAAATTTGACCACTTCCCCATCCAAACTGATTGAGACATTAATTCAATCAATGTTTAATAGGAGGTTTCTCCCCTTGAAGAGATCCAGAACCCACCGTCAGGCCACCAGTTTTTGGAACCGATCGTTTGCGAGGTGATGCCAAATAATTCCTCTTCCTGGAGCTAACTCCTACCAAAATCCCTTTGTTCTTAACCGCTTTTCTTTTTGCAGGTTGATCCGTCTCCAAATCATCTTCTCCCTGCGAGTTTTCCTCTTTTTCCTCTTCATGTTCTTGTTCCTTTGGGACAGTATCCGAAACAGAAACTGTACTTGCATCCGTCTCAGTGACCAGAATGACCACTTCCTCAATTTTATCTCCTTCGTGATCCCCTTTAATATCCTCTTCATTCTCTGCCTTAAACTCTCCCTCCTCATGGGCTATCTCCACACCACTTTCTTTCTCCTCCATTATAGTATCCATAAAATTCAGGGAAGATTCTCCTACGAGAGGAAAATCCTGAGCAAGCAACTGACTTAAATCATCCGAGAAAAGATCATGTTGTTCTGCCAACCCGAGAGTATTCTCTGTCCTGCTCTTAAAAGTAACTTCTTCAGGACCCGAAAAGAGATTCTTACGCACCACCTTATTTGGGATTGTGTCACTAGAACGCCCTTCCATATTAGCACCAAGAGTACCCGAATCTGTCACCGTCTTTGGGAATGTTTTTGTCTATTTGTTATTTGGGCTTTCGATTACTTCTTGTTTTCTTTTCATGATGGGCTTCAAAATAATTATCTTAAGTTTGTTTCTGTTTTCCATTACTTTTACGAAAACATTTTTTTTTTTTTAACTTCAACTTACCATTCAAAGTAGATCCAAAAGCTGGAAATCTACACATAAACAAAGTGCCTCCCTACTCACCAAAAAAAAAAAAACAAAGTGTCTCCTATGAGAGTAACACCTACAATTCAGGAAAGAAACAAATACAAAGGAGCACATTAAGTTTCGAAAACTCCAAACCAAGAAGCTAGATAAGATAGGCCATGAGGCAAGATCCTCTGCTCCCTAGAGAGCGGATCAAGGTGACACCGGATGAGGCTTTTGGCCTCGAGAATTAGAGCAACATGCGGTCTAGGAGAGCCACCGTGGAGCCTAGAATTACGTTCCTTCCAGATTAGGTAGATCGAGGCATGGAAGGCTAGCTTAAGAATGAGAGCTATATTCTTGTCCCGAGAGGGAGACTTCAACCAAATGACAGCATCTTCAAACCTGTTCGGGGACGAGACATGGGCCTTGGAGGTGAAGAACGACCATACTTCATCAGCAAATGCACAATCAAAGAAGAGGTGTTGTCTAAACTCATCATGAGTATTGCATAGGAGACACACTGAAGGTACCACAAGACCCCAATTAAGGAGCCTATCCCTAGTGTGAAGCATGTGACGAGTAGCCAGCCAACAAATAAAAGCATGTTTGGGAATGATTCCCTTGAACCACACTGCATCAAACCAGTCCACAGTAGTACCAGGAGGGTTCAAGAAATCCCATACCTTTGCAGATGTAAACACACTTGAGGCTTCACTTTCTCCGACTTTCCACAAATAAGTATCATCATTATCATTCTCTTCATGAACATTCACCACAGATGAAGGAGGAAGACAAGCATTAAGCAACTGAATGATACTGTTCCTGCTTCTACTACGAGATAACCACCATTCCCCATTAATAATCGCATCAGCTACAACCGCTGTCCTACTAAGGCCAGAAACCCGTGGACCCATATCACCAGTAATATCAATTAGAGGACCCAAACTAGTCTAATTATCAGAGCAGAAGTTGCAAGTAATACCAGAGTTGATCTCACACACGATGAAAGACCTAGCTAAAGGTCTTAGCTTGCAAATACTCTTCCATATCCAACTTCCAGAGTTAGAGCAATCCAAATCCCTGAAGCACTGCTGTCCAATTAGTCCTAAACATTATTCATAATTAAGTATGAATGCCATTTATCTGTAATTACCACTTACCATAGTCTTCCAAGATTCTTTTCATTATCAGACAAAAAAAACACATAACATGCATTTAGCCGTTGGAAATTTAAACTTGCATAATTTAAAGGTTATTTCAAACTTTTAAGAAAATGATTTCACTTTTGAAAAAAGCAACAAAAAAAAGGATCAGAGGACTAATTTGGTAAAATATTAATATTCATCGATTGCTCTATCTCTCTTCCACGTATAACGGCTCTCTTTTGCCAACTGTTGAATATTTCAAAATGTCACTTCCCTTTAAACAAATAAAGTCAATTTCATTTCACCCCAAAACTTCTCAAAGTTATCAATCTAGTCCTCAATTTCGAGTCCTATTATTGGAGCTATATGTAAATACAAAAAGTAAGTAGACATAGTAATGATATTAATAAACTAAAGGGACTTGTCTCTTTCTCTAATAACATTTCTAAAAAAGTTTATTCTCCTCAGAATTTGAACTTTTGAATTTCTTCATTCTCTCTCAAAAACGCTCTCTTCATCTTCTTCTTCTCCAAGCGTCTGCTTCAATTTCTTCAGCAAATGGGTTGCTGTCTCAGCAAAAATCCTCCTCCAGCTTCTTCTTCTTCTCCGATTAATGGATCTTGTTCCGTAAAATCACCAGATCTGAACAAATCCGCCATTGATAAACCTCTGAAACAAGAAGCACAAGAGAAGAAGCTCACAGTAGAGGAATCGAAACCAAAGAATGAAGAAACAGAGATACAAGAAGAGAATATCAAGCCGAGGAAAGAAGTGTTCGTGATAAAACATCGGAGAAGTCATGAGAAATCATCGAAGACGACGACAGATCCGGAGGATTCTTCTGTTTCTGATGTGAAATCAACCGGTTCGAATCATAATCCGGTTGATGTTGATGCGATTTTGATTCAGTGTGGGAGATTGAGTCGGAGTAACTCAGCCGCTGCGAAAACTAGGAGATATTCTGGATCTAAGAGGAGTTTTGATTTTGATCAGAACGGTGGTGATGCGGATGCGGAAGATGGCGGAGAAGAAGAAGAAGCTGAGAGGCGGATTCATCGGCAGCGTCAACGTGGTGGAGAATCGCCTCGGGAACGGAGAAGACGAACTCCGAGTAGAGAGAGGGATGATTCGAAGAGTTATAGATCGGGAAGTAGAGAGAGAGGAAGTGGTGGTGGTGGTAGTAGACGAGTGAGTAGATCTCCGGGAAGAAGATCGGAGATAAACCCTAATTCCAGTGGCAATTCTGTGAATTCGAGTAACAATAGACCTGGGAAATTTGTATCTGTTCCTGCAACAGATAAGGCTTTAAGCAACAACAATGGAGATGGATCTGTGAAACGGATTACTGTTAAGAGAAACGTTGGAAAAGCTGCGTCTCCAAGGTCTCAGTCACCGGCGAGAGCGGCGAGTCAGCCTTCGCCCTCGAAGCGGAAAACGGAGCATTCTCCGTATAGGAGGAATCCATTGGGTGAGATTGATCCAAACTCTGTAGCGTTTCCACTGTCTCAAGGTGATAAATTGGGTTCTGGTAACACCAATTGTAACAAAAGGATGATGAACAGAGACAATGAAATTGCTCAGGTATTGTTGGAAACTTGGAATGAATTGGAATTAGGAGATTTTAGTGTTTGTGTATTAGAAGTTGAATCCAATTTCAGGTATTGTTGGAGTGAATGTTTTCTTATGATTGTGTGTTTCAGAAGGTGAATCCTGTGATGATGAATACGAAAACTGCTACTCAAGCGCCAATCCGCAGAAGCGCAAGTCCGAGTCGTGCAATCAAAGAGCAACAAGAGGCAGTCGAAGAGTGTAAGATAGTGTTGTCATCTGTAACTGAATTGGCTAAGCCTCAAATTGTGAGCAGGAGCAGATCTTTGAGGAAATCTCGTGATTTCGATTTCAGTCCCGAAGCATTGCTCTCGAACAACATCGACATCAACAATGTTAACAGTAACAATGCAACTGCAGGATCAACGTTTCCTTCTTACACAGCTTTGCTTTTAGAAGATATTCAGAATTTCCATCAGAAGAGTGTTAATGTTAGTGCCTTAAGTTCATCTATGTCCAAGGCTTGTTCCATTGTTGAAGCAGTTGCAGATCTTAACTCCACTACGAATCAACACCAAAGAACCGAGGTCAGTTTCACATCCGCAGCAGCGAAGAAAGCGGATCTAATGGAACCAAGCTTTGAAAAGTATGTGACTGTTAAGAGAGGTGGTTCTTCCTTGGAGGACATGGAAGAGCAAGAATCTTCAGGAAGCAACAGTTTCACGGGAAGCAGTTGCGTGGTGCAGCGACAGGGATACTCATCGTCTTCTTCATGGGAACCGAATTCAGCTGAATCGACGGATCGCGTGAGTGCGAGATCAAACAAACAAGAACGTGACCGGAGTCCACTTGGTGTGAATTTTGAGAAACAAGAGTTTGATCCATTGAAGAAGAATGGTGTTGGCGTTGGACGCAAAAGAGTAGCTGTTGTTGATTCGTCTTCTTCAGGCAAAGGTGTTCCTCAAGCAACAACAACTCGTGTTGCTGCAGTTTCAATGTAATAAATAATGAAGTCATTGTTTCCTCCTTTAATGGTTGCAAGATTAGCAACGGTGTTTAGTTTCTTTTGTAATCACTTGATCATTTCATTCGAATATTCCTTCTTCTCGGTTACAATTTCGGAGTTTTCAATCTTTATAAGAATACTAATTCTCAATTTGTCATCCATCAATTATTATTGTTGTTTAAGCAGAGTAGTTACATGATAATTGGGAAATTTAAGGGAAAAAACCCGAAAAATACCTCATCTATTTTTTATTTGGACGTTTAATACCTAACTTTTTTTTGTTGGAAGAAAAATACCTTCTTTAATTATAATTGGTCGAAAAATATCTTATCTTTAAATTATTGGTAGATTCAAACCTCTGATTTAACGGTCGTTAACGGACGTAACGATATTAGTAAACGACGTTAAATTATAACAGAAAAATAGCCGAAAAATACCCAATCTATTTATTTTTGGAATTTTAATACCCCAACTTTTTGGTTAGAAGAAAAATACCTCATGTAAAATATCTTTGTCTAAAAATACTTCATTTTAAATTATTAGTGGATTCAAGTCTGCGACTTAACAATCGTTAACAATATTACAGAAACATTTAACGACGTTAAATATTAACCCTGTGTATATAAATAGATATATACAATTTATTTTCAAAATTTTACAAATATATTGGTGTGATCAAAACTCAATATTACTTCGTTAATACGATCAAAACTCAATCTTTCTCGAACCATTTCTTTCATCTCTCCACTTTTACCTAAATTGTCATTCTTTCTCAAATCTATCGTCGTCGTCATCTTTGTCACAATCTCTCATTTGTTAGTTGCAGAATCATTACATTCCATCATCAAAATCACTATCACAAAAACCCTTCTAACTCCAAGTCTCCAACGATGCCTTTAGGAATGAAAAAATGATGTATTTAAATTTGTAGGAGTGAAGCAAATGATGTATTTAAATTTGTATGTCATTCATTAAAGAAAATAGGAGATCAAAAGAAGTTCTATGCGGGTTAAAAATCATACGTGTTACCATTAGATCAAGTAATATATTTGTAAAAGTTTGTATAAATATTGTATATACTAACAATTCAAAAATGAGGTGTTTTTAGACAAAAATATTTAAATGAGGTATTTTTCTTCCAACCAAAAAGTTTGGGTATTAAAAATCCAAAAATAAATAGATGAAGCATTTTTCGGCTATTTGTTTTGTTATAATATAACGTCGTTTACTGATACCGTAACGTCCGTTAACGACCGTTAAATCAAAGGTTTGAATTTACCAATAATATAAAGATAAAGTATTTTTCGACCAATTATAATTAAAGAAGGTATTTTTCTTCCAACAAAAAAAAGTTAGGTATTAAACGTCCAAATTAAAAATAGATGGGGTATTTTTCGGGTTTTTTCCCGAAATTCAAACACACACACACATACAAAAAAAAAAGAAGCAAACTTTCTAATTCAATCACACTTAAACATGTTCTCTTGACCTTCTTCCTTTTGTAGATCTCTGCTCTGATGCTGCTTGAGAACGATTGGTTTTTTCTAGCATCTGAACAACATTCCTCATTTCTGGTCTGTCTGAAGGATTATATTCAACGCATCCCAGACCAATCTTAATGCAAGTCACTATATCTTCCTTATCACGTTTATCTAAGTTCGAGTCCTCTGGTTTCAGTGGTTTCTTTGCCTTGTACATCCTCTTTGCCTACACGAGAAAAATATTACCGCGATAAATGATTTAGGTACTGATCATGTCGTAATATGTAGATTTATATCAGTGAGATTATTTTGTTTGAGTATACTTACATAGGTTATAAGATCCTCCCCATTCTCCCCCATTTTCGAATTCCAAATACTCTTACCACTCAGGATCTCAAGAACCAACACACCGAAACTGTAAACATCTGTCTTAAACGAGATCCGCCCTTCGTTTCGAAACTCTGGAGCTATATAGCCTCTGTCAAAACATATAACATTAGTCACTTAACTTCATCCTGAATGTACATGATTCATGAGAAAACCTTGGCACTTACTCGGTCCCCATGATGTTTTCCGTAAACCGTTGGCTTATTTGGCTCTCATCGAACAATTTAGCCAAACCAAAATCAGCGATTTTTGGTGTCATGTCCTTGTCTAGCAATACATTACCTGGTTTAAGATCCCGGTGAATTATCCGCGCATGGGAATCTTGATGAAGGTAAAGAATTCCACGAGCGACACCTACTATGATTCCGTAGCGTGTTGCCCATCCCAACGCCTTATCTATGTACACACCTAAAGATTCTTTAGACCATTTCCAAGATTTTTAATATGGAAATAATAAAAGAAGAGAGTACCGAAGATGAAGTTGTCAAGACTTTTGTTGGGTACAAATTCATAGATGAGAGCCCTTTCATTGTTCTCGACAGCGAAGCCCACAAGTCGGACAAGATTACGATGTGAAAGGTTTGCCATTGACAAAACCTCGTTTTTAAACTGAATTTCGCCTTGTTTGGTATTTTCGGACAACCTTTTCACTGCTACTTGTTGTCCATTAAGTATACCCTGTAGAATATCCATCCACAGAAAATTAAAAACACATTGTTGTTGTCAAGTGAGGGATGTCAATCAGACTAAACACATCCGGGCCTATAAAGCCCCGGGTTTCGTTCAAAATATAATATTTTTCTTCCGTTTTCTTATTTGATGTTTTAGGAAAGGTATTTTGTTTTAAAATAGACGATGGTTTCAACTTTCAATACAAAATTAATTTTTTTAAAATAATAATAATTTTAACAAATTGTATTATGCAAATTGTTTTACTATTCGTTGAATCGTGTTTAGGTTGATAATAAATGATGTTTTAGTTTAGAAAAAACAAAATAAACGATTTCTTAATCGGTGTGCAAAAACTTTAAACACAAATATGTAAAAAAACGTAAGGAATATTAATTTATGGTTTGTAAGATTACCTTATAAACTTTCCCAAATCCACCTTTTCCAAGTTCATTTTGGGGTGAGAAATTGTTGGTTGCACTTCTTATTGCACTGAATTCAAATTTTAAGGAATCTTCCCTCCTTTCGTCTGTACATAACAATAATTAATGTTAGGAAAGTTGTACAATTTTCAGCTATATAGATTTAGGTGTGTATGTGTGCGCAACTCACTTTGGCGGTTGTGTTTCTTCTTCTTAAGAGTCAAGACAATAACAACGCATAATACGATAAGGAGGACAAAGCCGCCAACAATAATAACGACACCTTTAACGTCATCTATAGCAAAACCTTTTCCGTCACTCACTCTCTCATTTGATGGAGAAGGAGGAGGAGATGGAAGAGGGGCTGGCGGCAATGCCCGCGGTTGCTCCTCCGCTGTCAGATCATAGAACCGTGAGGTGTCATACCTCAAATTGCAGCTGACGGTTGCCTGCCTGCAACCCATTTTTGTATTACAAAGAATAGGAATTCGACCTATATTCCACGTAAGACAATCAATGCAGTCACGTTCCGAAATCTCGGGCGTGCACTGCATGAGACCGTACAACGTTTGAAGGGAAGGCCCACTCTTTTTAGAGACGGCGAACTTCTTCCTCTCCCCACCCGCCGCTGCTCTACTCATTAACCCTTCTAATAAAGTCGTTAGCATGTTCTCCCATGCACCTTTTTCACCCGGGAAATCGAAATCCGTGGCAAAAGAATATCCAGGAAATGTCTCCATCGTGTTCAAGATTGTGCGGTTTGAGTACCTAAATGTAGGTTTATAGAATTGGATGATCTTATTGATGTGAATGAGTACAATGTATACTAATACTAAACATAAATTTTGTTTAGTAATCTTTTCTAAATAATTGATCTAAATATATGTCAATCCAAGAGAAGGTGAGGTTTGAGTACCTGAGCATACAATTGTCGTACCATATGATGGCTTCTTTCTCGTTCGGACATTGTTCCCTAATCTCTTGTCCGGCTCTAATAATGCATCTGATGCATTCAATGGGTTTGACATCACCTCTACACAGCATCAAAGAATTGACTTTCTCGTTATCGGTTTCTCCAAAAGAAACGTTGTAAAAGCCGTCTTGTGTCGGTGGAAGAGACGAGAGGGAGGAGATAAGTGACTTGAGGTTGACTTCAAAGATGCTATTGGCGGTGAAGTTCCCTCTTATAGTTTGGCAGGAAGAGAAGAGAGCTTTCCCTTCCTGAGATTGTACGGAAAGTAGTTGCGACGAGAGCAACAAAGCTGACAATAGAACAAAACATTGCATAGTGTATGACTTAGGCATAACATAACTCATTGTAATCTTTAGTCTTTTTGGTTATCTTCTTATGGTCTTGCTTGATTGTTGCATTTATATAGGGACAGTGGAGGTGGGCACTAGCTAATTAAATACAAACAAAATGTAGTACAAGTAATATTTGTAAATTGTGCGATTGTCCGTTGACAAGTTACCGTGTCACTAATTAATTCTTCTTCTTTTTTTTTTATTCTATTATTTTTTGAAAAATCAAATCGATCGACTCTGGCTTTTGATTGGGGGAATGGTTTATGAAAGATACATAAAAATATACTTTGTATATTAAGGGGTTATTTATTATTTATTTTTTTTTTGTTAAAATCTTTGTATAATAAGGTTAAATACCCTTTCCAATCTATGGTGAATTGATGCCCAAGGAAACTACTAGACGGGTTACATTTACAAGTATCTCTATCCGTGTATAATGTGTGTCTATTGTCTAAAATGAAGTCAACTTGGTATGAAATTCATTAGTAAACCGGAGAAAGACTTAATTATACCCCCTGTTCTAAAAATCCTCGCCTAGGCCCACCCTATCCGCATCGATTAATGATTAATCCCCTAAAAAAATCAGTTACCCGATTACTCTCCGCCTAATCCGATTACTTCCCGCCTAATCCGATTACTCCCCGCCTAATTTTACATATCTCGATTATTTTTAGATTTCAAGTATAAAAACTTTTTATTTTTGTTATTCAATCATTTAAATTGGGAGTTTGTGATGTTTTACAATAACTTATGTTCAAATTTTAATAAAAATGATAAATTTGTAATAAAAATCATAAAACTTTATCTCAAAAATACAGTTTTATGTGTTTACTGCAATTTTGAAAACAATATTTGATTAATATGTTTTAAAAATATTAAAATAATCCTAAAACTAATCCCCGATTTTAATCCGATTTTCCGATTAATCGCTAGGCCCATACCTAGCGCCCGACTAGCGCCTAGCGATTTTTCAAACAAGGATTATACCTTACTTCATTTAAAAAAAAGAAAAAAAGAAAAAAGAAGAAACCGGAGAAAGACAAATAATTGTTTTTTTTGGCGGTTTCTTGACAATAAACATCATGATTTAGTCATCAAATTCTCTAATCAAGCCCAAAGTTCTAAAGGAATTATTTCTTGCATAATCATGATAATGATAAAAGAAAAAAGAATCCAAAATAAAAATAAAAAAATCTAAATTACATCAAAATACAAACAATGTTCTTCCACTCGTTTAAGTTTTAAGGCTGCTTCTAATCGCCTCTAAAAAAATAGTATTGACTTCTGATTAAACGGTTTATTCTGAAAATTTTCAGTGAATTAATGCTTCTTCTTCTTAGATCGGATCAGGTTTGAGTTTTTCAGGTGTAAACCAGGTTAAATTTTTGTGCCAACAATTTTATATCAAATGGTATGCCCATTTTCACTTGCAACATACCGGGTTCGACCCTATTTGTCATGGGTCAACTGGTTTTATATTAATTGGCTCGGAATGGGACCTTTGGATATAACATATTATAAATCAAATTGACTAGCTCAAAGTTGTAAATTGTGGGAATATTTATGTTAATACTTTCCTCGAAACCACTGTGAAGTTCTGTTCGTGAACTTTTTCAAACTATCAAATACTATATGTGGTTTGTAGCTGAAGTCAGCAAGTGATATAACCCATATTATTTCACCTATGATTCAGAGCAATTGTTTAATTTTGTTAAAGAGCAATTTTTTTTTTAATTTTTATATTGATAATAATACTCTTGCGTAAACAATAAAAAGCAACGACTTAATCAGAAAGATTACTAGACAAAATTAAAAAAAAAAAAAACAGAGAGACGTATGCCACATTGAAGAATTAAGGCGGTGTATTGGAACAAGAATTTCTATCAATATAATACCTTAATTATATTAATATATTCATTTAAAACTTCTCCAAAACATAAGAAAATGTTTTACTTTTATCGAATCTGAGAAGTAATCATAGTGGTCAGAAGATTTTTTTCTGAGAGGCTTGCAGCCGTTGACTTACCAATTTAGAAGCAAATGAATAAGTTTGAGATATAAAATAGAAGATTAAAAGTTGTACATCATTGTAATCCGTATATCATTATGCTGTTGCGAATGTGAGCATATCCCTTAATCACACTGTGTGATTAGTGATGTTAAAATGGGTTTATGTTATAATCATGCATGTTGTGTTCTTTAATCATGTTGTGTTCTTTAAATTATAATCATGTTGTGTAATGTATTCTGATTCACACACACAAAAATCAAATGGTATCAGAGCAGACATCTTATGCTACAACAAGTTAGTGAGATCTAGGAGATCATGGAGATCATGGAGACATATCTACAAAGCTACCCAATGTTCATAACAAAAGTCATTGTCCAAACTATGTTTTAAAGTGTTAACTTAAAGAACACAACATGATTATAACTTAAAGAACACAACATGAAAATGGGGCATTTGCATCAGATGGTGAAATGATAATTAACGGTGGTGATTATAACAATGACATGGTTTTTTTTTGGTTTTTTTTTTGTTGGTAAAATGTGAAGTATTTATACCATTTTCGAAGTTGTGACAGAAATTACAAGGAATACAAGTAGCGGAAAATAACCAAAAACTACAGAATAAACAGACAATAACAAACAACAAAGGAAGATAATGAGAACCCAGAGCGGAAACGTGAGAAAAACAGTGACATGGTTGATAATGATGGCAAATTAAAAGGCTCAGAAGATGAATATTACAAACAAGTGAAACAGAAACAAGAAGCTAAACGAGCTGCAAAAGTATAGATCTATTCAAGGTAATAAATATACATTAATTACATTAACCTTTCTTTTTCACAAACTTTGACACTTGTTGTAGTATAATGTTGTTCATCTCAATGGCACGTTTTGTGTTTCCTAAGCACGCAACAAACATCATCTGTTTTTCTACCTAGCACCATAGTTTAACGTTTCTTTTCATCTTTGTTTTTCTAATCGCCACCAAAACCTAGATTATGAGTAACAGAGGATTGACCTTGGCAACGCAACAAGGATCTTAAAAACCCGAGAAAGAAGTACCGGGTAAACGATCTTGAATTGCCAGTTTCTAACGTTCGTTTCTTTGACTTAACTTGTTTTGGGATCTTGAATTTTTGTTTGCAGGATAAGCACGAGAAAAAAGTCAATAGTTGCAAAGGACATGTCAGAGATATCAGGAAACAAACGGGTCAATATGCATGAGAACCCCGTGGTATCAATCCCAACACAAGCCGGAGCATCCGAATCAAGAACTAACCTCCTCTTCCTATGTCCCTCAAATTCTCTATTTGCATGCTTCGTTTTGCTGTTGTGTTATCTACCATTTTGGATCTCTTACTTTTTATTTTTCTCTTCTTCAAGATTAAGCAAATCCTTGTTTTAAAATTTTTGATGTTTTTGTTTAAATCTGTTGTCTTACCTTTGTATTTTTAAGAAAAGAAAAACTTGCTTTTTGTTTTTTACTTCAAGAAGGCAATTCAATATGCTAAAGAATACAAAATAGTTGATGAATTGTTCAGCCACATTGAGATCGATTCGATTTTGATTAGTGGTACTCTTTTTCAGAAATGCTTCCACATGTTCCATTTTCAATTATACCCTTTTCAGAAGGTTTTATAAAGATTTTTAGAAGTTCTATAAAAATTGTAAAAAGTTTTAGAAAGAGGATTTGGAGGTCCAACCACCATGAGCCGCCATAGATATCAAGATTATTTTTGAAAAATGTATAATTGAAAATTGACAACAAAAAGATGTTTGTATGGTAAAATGAGCATTTCTCAAAAATTCTAAAAAAACTTCCTACTAAAAGTGATAAAAGAAAAAGATTTCCTACTATAAGTAATAAAAGAAAAAGATTGCCTACTATAATTGATAAAAGCAAGATTGCCTACTATAAGTTAATATGAGTTTTATTTATTAATAGATTTGGAAATCCTTTTTTCACTTTAAAATTACACATGGATCTTGAAATAACATGGTATACCCACATATTTGAATATTTATTTTTTACTTTTAAATCTTAAAATCTAATGTAGTTTTTAAAATCCAATAATAAATCATTAAATGATAACACATGATTTTAACTAGTATTTTTGAAATTAGTGAATGAATAATACATGATTTTGACAAGAATTTTAAAATCAAGGATCCAATAGTACATGATTTTGCTTTAGATTTTTCAATCTATTAAAATTTATGAACATCCCTCCCCCCTCCGAAATTCATAAAGAAGTTTTCAGACTAATAGAATTGGGCCTTTTATATATATTTTTGGGCTTAATTATGTTTGGTATCTGTGATATTAGGGTTAGTGTGACACTGTGAGTTAAGGCTAAGTATATATAGATGTTCATAACAACACACAAAATCTCTAAAATCATTGTGCAATTCTAACAAAGACATCAAACAAAAACAAACATGGCTAAAGGACAAATATGTTTTTCTTTCATCATCTTATTATACATCTCATCAGGTACTTTAGTTGATTGTTATATTTGTTTCCGTTTTTTGTGAAAAAGATTTATTGTATTTCCATGTTTCTCTTACAGAAGGTAGTTTCATGAGAGTCAATGCACAAGCACCAGTAAGTACTCATCAAACAACATTCAATCTCATATGATGATTTTTATATCTTTTTGAGTGTGCTCTTTGTTATAGGGTCAAGGGAGTTGGTGTGTGGTTAAGCCTGGCACGCCAATCCAACAACTGTTAAAGAACATAAACTATGTGTGTTCGAAAATCAATTGTGATATTTTATCGAAAGGAAGTGCATGTTATTCTTCACTTAATCTCTATAATTTAGCTTCTGTTTCCATGAATCTTTATTATCAAAGTCAAGGAAGACAATTTTCAACATGCGATTTTGGAGGCTCTGGTCTCATTAGCGTAACTGATCCTAGTGAGTTTTATCTATCTCTTCTTTCCTTTTTTTTTTCTTTAAACAATTATGTAACTTTTTTTTATCTAACCTCAAATCAATTTTTTTTTCTATAGGTTGTGGATGTTGCATATATGAATTTCGTAAATAGAGCATAAACATATTCGCGAATGGATCTGTTACAAAATAAATAAAGAACTCTAGTTCTGATATTTCAGATTTGATATATATCTAAACTTCGAATAATTAGTGGTTCAACTTTTCACTTATTAAGTGTTTGAGCTTTATTTCATGAGGTCAAAAAAAACCATCTTATCTAATATCATATCAATATGTACCACTATAATTATGTGGTTGATGTTTGTTTACATCATATAGACGTGAATTAACTACATCTTTAAAAAAAAAAAAGATGTAATTGTTAAGTTTAAGTCCAATTCCTAACTAATTACTCCGAACCAAATTTATCACTAAATTGATCAAATACATATTTGATCAATTTAGTGCGGGAGAAAAATTATTAGATAACACACGAGCAAGGTTTATAGATTGTGGTCATGCCTTCATGTCGTTATTGGTGTTTGGTGCGGTGGTTCTATTCGATCGAAACGCAGTAAATTGTTTTTCTTCCAGTAATATACTCTATATTTACCACTTATCATGGTTGCAGTTAGTCCGGTAAAAAAGAGGTAATTTAAATTACCTTGGCCGCTGCCCGAAGTGACGTGTGAACAATCCAGTTCGTCGATCGCCAATCAAACGAACTCTAAGTCAATTCTGCAAACTAAGTACCAATTCGAACCCCGGTGGTAACATAACCACATAGGAAACACAACCACATAGGAAAGTATTGATTGGTGCTATGAAGTCTAATTTAATTACACTTATCCCTAAAAACAAAATCGAACGGTTCTGGTTTAAACCGGTACGCTAAATAATTTCACATCATCAGTGTGTTATCATAATTTATTTGGTTCGGTTCCTTTTTTTTTTTGTTCCACAAGTGTCCAATGTCCGTTCTTGTCTTCAGCTTCCAGATCTCTGTTTGCTGGAGTAAAGATTCAATCCCCATAAGATTGAATTTTAGGGGTTCTCTAAAGATTCAAGTTTTCGGTGTTCGATGAAAGTCCTGAATCAGAATTGCGCTTTCTTTAGTCATCATACAATATAGACAATTAACACAAGTACACAACAGATCGAGAAAATTCATCGAAAAAGTTACAATAAATTTACTAGTGGAGAGTAGTTTCTTCACCTGGTTTTAACCTTATAAACTCGGCTGTGCCAAATTGAATGCAAAATCATATGAAATAGATCGAACTTCACCGGTTTCTTGTGCCACAGGAAATGTTGCTGCACCGCTTTAACCCTTGCTTGCATGACAATATATCTCTCTTCGGATATCGATAGCAGAATGTTTCTCAGATTCGGTATATCTTTCTCCTCAACAAACACTGCAAATTCCTCCCAGTTCAAAACCTCGAAAAAGGGAGGCACGTAGTTGTCAGCAATGATAACCGGAACACATTCATTAATGATAGCCTCGACAACCCTAGGGGTGTGGACTTCATAACCCCTCGCACATATGCAGTACCTGTTGAAATATTGAAATGGGAGTTAAAACTACTCACAACCAAAACCGTTAAAAAGACATTTTTGTATAGGTGAGCAATATGGTTTACGGTTTGTATTTTTCAGTTTCCTTGACCTTACTTGCTACTCTTCATGTATTCTCGGTATTGTTTCTTGCTTTCGGGGTCACGAGGCATTGGACCGACAATCTTCATGTCAGGTTCTTTATTCTCCCAAAGCTTCACTAGGATCGGACGGAGATATCCGTGCATGCTGCCAGCAAAGAATGCAAGAATCTTCCTTTCAGATGGAGTTTTTCCACCGAGGTACTCAAGAGGGGACTCGGCAGAGCGTATATACGTGACTGGTAAAGCTGTATCGGTCCCAATTCTGAAGCCTTGGGCAACATTTGAGTTGCAAAGTGCTCGAACACTGTTCTTCATGGTTTTTTTGGTTAGTTTGTTGCCCTGCGAGTAACATACAAACAGCTTATTAATCAATTTCATATATCAAAACTTTACTAAAATCTAACATTAAAGAGTTTATACGACTCTTATTGCTATATAAGACAAAAGAAAGAAAGTAAGAAAATGATAGTACCCAATCATGGCACGCGACAATAAAATGATCGGCTCCACCAGTTCGGTTCCAGAACTTATACTTTCCTGCTATTAAATCGACATATTCCTTCAAATGGTCTGCAAGGCTCCTTGGTGTCTGAAAATCCTGTCCCAGAGAGGACCTAAGAGCTTTTATACTGATGGGTATGTAGAACAAATGAGCCTTCCTAGGGTCTCTTACTACAAACTTCTTGTTGTTTTCCATGAGTTTCATAAACCAACCTTCTGAGGCGTAAATTCCTCGAGGCATTGGCTTATGGAATATTGGTTTCCCTCCTTCCTTGTACACATAAACTTTGAGTTTCCTCTCCATCAAGTCGTAGCTCCTAAATAAGAAACACATCGAGTCTGGACATATCACCACTCCTACTCCAAACACTCCCAAAGTCTCAAATTTAGCTAACCAACATTCACTAAATCTCTAGATTTTTACTCCTTTATAGTAAGTACAAGAAACAGATGAATAATACGAGTGAGTGGCGGCAACTATAACTACCAACGAATAGTCCTAAGATTGTGAGAGAGGGGTATTCATTGTATGGCTGACCTTAGAAACTTGGAGATATTTCGATAAACCGAAGCATTAAGTCCAAGAAATTCATGCACAACAGAGGCTTTCTCAATCTCGAATCTCGCAGAGAGCATTTGAGAGTCTCGAGCAGATGACCACCGAGGCTTCTACACGAATGGCCAAGAAAAACAAAAGAAAAATGAGATATAGGAACCCTTCAACAGTTATCTGTTTCTTGAAATCCCAAAGTGAGAATTTCAACAATCAAAAATTCTTACAGGGGATTTAAAAGAAGAAACACTCTGGATCAGCAATGAGTTCATCTGAGATATCGAAATCGCACCCCGTCGCTCGTGCTTCCTCATAGACAAAACATTACCATTTCTACTATCTTTAACCCTAACCATAACCAAATTTGAATCTGATTCTGAGCTATCAACCACCATTTTAGGATTCCTCAATGATATATTTTCTCTGGCAATAACAGATACATTAATCTCTACCTTCTCCTTGCTAATTACAACATCATTTTCTCTATCAAGATCCTTATTTTTATTCCCTTCTTCAAATTCCTCATCGACATTATCATTATCATCATCATCAGAGAGATTTATGTAATTCATCACAGAAACTGGAGTGGCATTGGAATTGGTTGACTCAATCACTGAAACCGTAACTGGAGACAAGCAAAACGTTTTCGGACAGGGAATACCGAAACACAGAACAAGGAGAACAACAAAACCAACTGTGACAATGATTCCCGACAACAATCTCCGGATGTCGGAATGATGAAATCTCTCGAATCTGGTAATGATTCTCATGGCAATTCGAATAAATAATCACAGCTAATGAATTCGGAAAGAATTGAGCAGTGATACCTTCATTTTTTTTATCTCTTCTTCAACAATGAGAGCTTGAGAAACAAAGAGACCATCAAAAAGAAGATCTTTCAGGTCTTCTTGAGAAGAAGAAACACTCTTGAATCGAGAGAGTGAAAGGTCTTCGATAAACCCAACTAAACTGAAGTGGTTCTGTCTTTTTAATAAATAATTCATTATTCTTTTTGGGTAAATTATTGGTGAGATATCACTACAATGCTATTTATTTAATTATCTAACAGTCAAAGATGGTCAATAAATAATGTACACTTACTAGACTAGTCTCTTCACTGTTTTTTTTTTTTCTCTTTTTAGATATTTATTAATCTAACCCTATTATGATGATATTCAACTACCTGCAGCATATGCGATTATGATGAACAGTTCCCACGAAAAATAATTATACGGCGCAGCTCTCCCTGCAACACTCAGACGGATGGTTCTACATGTACGACATCCATGCGATGGACATGCTATCCCCGCAACACTCAGACCACTACGAACGGCTCTGCATGCGGCACTCTAGACCTTCAATAAGCTTTTGCACCATTAATCTGCAAGAAACTGCGTTTTCTAGGACTCGAACCCCAAACCTAAGTATTCATAAACTTTTGGTCAACTACTAGACCAAAAGAATTTCCACATTTGATCTGGTTTACAAGCAGCTAAAGTGTAACACAAAAAGTAAACTGCAACATGAAGTGATAATGGGAAGCAAGAAAGACGATCAAATGAAAGCTGAGCTTGAATCAGAAAAAGCTATGCTTGTAACCGTTGGACCAGTGACTGAGAGCTAAGGCTAAGAAGTTTAAGGAGGCACTTAACGGGCTTATCCAAGATATTTTGGACAAGAAAAGCATTGGAATGTCTATTTGGGATGATATATATATATCGATTCAAGCCCATTATAAGCTTAATACAAGTCCAATAAAACCCATCATAAATGTCTAAGGAGAGTGAAGAAAATGAAGTTCAAGAGTCACTTTGGTGGATGGGAGTTTAAGTTTCAATGGTTCTCGACTAATAAGGGTTAGGATCATATGTAGGTTTCTAAACTTTTTGATCTAGATTATCAACTTCGAAACACAAATGAACAAACACTCTATAGGTCATAGAATGAATGTCTAAAGTCTCCTTACTCTGTTATTCAACTCACACAGGTAACAACGCATCTCAACCAGCAAGTAAAACAAGTTCGATCAGTTTACAAAGCTTTGCAACTCAAGTTACGCAGGTTATGATGCTTCGGTAACACTAGTTATGAGAATAGGTTTTTACATGGGTAGTGCTCTTATTTTCTAGGTTCAGTGTTTGGTGATCAATCCAAACAACACGCATTTAGTAAAAAATATCCCAAAAGAATCTAAGTATGTATGTCAAATCAGATCTAACATCATAGTAAGAATCAAACCCATAATCCTCTTTGAATCACCTCATAAAACCCAACAAAGAGAACTACTTGCTCAAGGTGTAAAGAAACGGCATAGGTATTATAAAGTATAGCATAATAAACAAATCAATAAGTAAAGGGGGTTCAAAAGAAACTTACTAGACTAGTCTCTTCATATGGCTTGGGACTGAAAAAATGAGGAAGAAGTGAACATCTGATTGTGATTTAATTTCGATTGATTTTGGTTAAAGACTGGTTTAATCCCAATTTAATTTGATCTGTTTTTTTTTCCTCTTTTTAGATATTTATTAATCTAACCCTATTATGATGATATTCAACTACCTGCAGCATATGCGATTATGATGAACAGTTCCCACGAAAAATAATTATACGGCGCAGCTCTCCCTGCAACACTCAGACGGATGGTTCTACATGTACGATATCCCTGCGATGGACATGCTATCCCCGCAACACTCATACCACTACGAACGGCTCTGCATGCGGCACTCTAGACCTTCAATAAGCTTTTGCACCATTAATCTGCAAGAAACTGCGTTTTCTAGGACTCGAACCCCAAACCTAAGTATTCATAAACTTTTGGTCAACTACTAGACCAAAAGAATTTCCACATTTGATCTGGTTTACAAGCAGCTAAAGTGTAACACAAAAAGTAAACTGCAACATGAAGTGATAATGGGAAGCAAGAAAGACGATCAAATGAAAGCTGAGCTTGAATCAGAAAAAGCTATGCTTGTAACCGTTGGACCAGTGACTGAGAGCTAAGGTTAAGAAGTTTAAGGAGGCACTTAACGGGCTTATCCAAGATATTTTGGACAAGAAAAGCATTGGAAGGTCTATTTGGGATGATATATATATCGATTCAAGCCCATTATAAGCTTAATACAAGTCCAATAAAGCCCATCATAAATGTCTAAGGAGAGTGAAGAAAATGAAGTTCAAGAGTCACTTTGGTGGATGGGAGTTTACGTTCAATGGTTCTCGACTAATCAGGGTTAGGATCATATGTAGGTTTCTAAACTTTTTGATCTAGATTATCAACTTCGAAACACAAATGAACAAACACTCTATTGGTCATAAAATGAATGTCTAAAGTCTCCTTACTCTGTTATTCAACTCACACAGGTAACAACGCATCTCAACCAGCAAGTAAAACAAGTTCGATCAGTTTACAAAGCTTTGCAACTCAAGTTACGCAGGTTATGACGCAATGCTTCGGTAACACTAGTTATGAGAATAGGTTTTTACATGGGTAGTGCTCTTATTTTCTAGGTTCAGTGTTTGGTGATCAATCCAAACAACACGCATTTAGTAAAAAATATCCCAAAAGAATCTAAGTATGTATGACAAATCAGATCTAACATCATAGTAAGAATCAAACCCATAATCCTCTTTGAATCACCTCATAAAACCCAACAAAGAGAACTACTTGCTCATGGTGTAAAGAAACGGCATAGATATTATAAAGTATAGCATAATAAACAAATCAACAAGTAAAGGGGGTTCAAAAGAAACTTACTAGACTAGTCTCTTCATATGGCTTGGGACTGAAAAAATGAGGCAGAAGTGAACATCTGATTGTGATTTAATTTCGATTGATTTTGGTTAAAGACTGGTTTAATCCCAATTTAATTTGATCTGTTTTTTTTTTCCTCTTTTTAGATATTTATTAATCTAACCCTATTATGATGATATTCAACTACCTGCAGCATATGCGATTATGATGAACAGTTCCCACGAAAAATAATTATACGGCGCAGCTCTCCCTGCAACACTCAGACGGATGGTTCTACATGTACGACATCCCTGCGATGGACATGCTATCCCCGCAACACTCAGACCACTACGAACGGCTCTGCATGCGGCACTCTAGACCTTCAATAAGCTTTTGCACCATTAATCTGCAAGAAACTACGTTTTCTAGGACTCGAACCCCAAACCTAAGTATTCATAAACTTTTGGTCAACTACTAGACCAAAAGAATTTCCACATTTGATCTGGTTTACAAGCAGCTAAAGTGTAACACAAAAAGTAAACTGCAACATGAAGTGATAATGGGAAGCAAGAAAGACGATCAAATGAAAGCTGAGCTTGAATCAGAAAAAGCTATGCTTGTAACCGTTGGACCAGTGACTGAGAGCTAAGGCTAAGAAGTTTAAGGAGGCACTTAACGGGCTTATCCAAGATATTTTGGACAAGAAAAGCATTGGAAGGTCTATTTGGGATGATATATATATCGATTCAAGCCCATTATAAGCTTAATACAAGTCCAATAAAGCCCATCATAAATGTCTAAGGAGAGTGAAGAAAATGAAGTTCAAGAGTCACTTTGGTGGATGGGAGTTTACGTTTCAATGGTTCTCGACTAATCTGGGTTCGGATCATATGTAGGTTTCTAAACTTTTTGATCTAGATTATCAACTTCGAAACACAAATGAACAAACACTCTATAGGTCATAGAATGAATGTCTAAAGTCTCCTTACTCTGTTATTCAACTCACACAGGTAACAACGCATCTCAACCAGCAAGTAAAACAAGTTCGATCAGTTTACAAAGCTTTGCAACTCAAGTTACGCAGGTTATGACGCAATGCTTCGGTAACACTAGTTATGAGAATAGGTTTTTACATGGGTAGTGCTCTTATTTTCTAGGTTCAGTGTTTGGTGATCAATCCAAACAACACGCATTTAGTAAAAAATATCCCAAAAGAATCTAAGTATGTATGACAAATCAGATCTAACATCATAGTAAGAATCAAACCCATAATCCTCTTTGAATCACCTCATAAAACCTAACAAAGAGAACTACTTGCTCATGGTGTAAAGAAACGGCATAGATATTATAAAGTATAGCATAATAAACAAATCAATAAGTAAAGGGGGTTCAAAAGAAACTTCTCTATATGTCATAGATGAAAGCTTGTCACTCCAAGAGCGATAAGAAAGAAGATAGAGATGAGAAACAATGAAGAACAACAGAGAGATCTTCAAGGAACGACTTCTAGGGTTTGGAAACGACGAGGAGCTTCTGGAGGTTATAGAGGCGTCGAAGAGAGGCTGTGAGAAGCGTAAAAACAAATGTAGGGTTTTCTCTTTAAGTCCCGATGTTTATAGGCTTGAAGCTAGGATTAAGGGTAAAAGCGTCAAAACAAGTCGTTTTGGTAAGTGCAAGGATGAGCTTCTGGACCGGTCACATGGTTTGTAACTAGTGTGGAGTGTGATAAAGAGCCCATCCAAGAGCTTCCTAATTGGTCATGTTGCTTCTGGCCGGTCTGGACATGCCTTTACTCTTCTGGTCATATCTTCCAAATGAATGAATGTATTGGTCTTATTCAATTTCGAGGTGAATCTCAACTTTTCTACCTTTCTGTAGCCTCCAGGATATCTTGATTAGGTACCGGTGTACAGAAAGACTGTAAACGGATACCACACTTCTGAGGTTCTAAAACTTGTCTTATACTCTTTTTTTGCTCAAAAACTTATAAATCCTTCTTGAAGCACAAATAGTTGAAAACAGCCATGAAGTATCAAAATATCTTAAAATATTCATTGGAAACCTAATTGAAACATAGCAAAAGTAGG